TAATATTACTCAATTAATATACGATATTACTATACTAATATTACTCTATTAATATACGATATTACTATAGTAATATTATTCTATTAATGTGAGATATTACTGTAGTAATATTACTCTACTAATATATGATATTACTATAGAAATATTACTCTATTAATATAATATATGATATTACGATAGTAATATTACTCTATTAATGTACGATATTACTATAGTAATATTACTCAATTAATATACGATATTACTATACTAATATTACTCTATTAATATACGATATTACTATAGTAATATTATTCTATTAATGTGAGATATTACTGTAGTAATATTACTCTACTAATATATGATATTACTATAGAAATATTACTCTATTAATATAATATATGATATTACGATAGTAATATTACTCTATTAATGTACGATATTACTATAGTAATATTACTCAATTAATATACGATATTACTATACTAATATTACTCTATTAATATACGATATTACTATAGTAATATTATTCTATTAATGTGAGATATTACTGTAGTAATATTACTCTACTAATATATGATATTACTATAGAAATATTACTCTATTAATATAATATATGATATTACGATAGTAATATTACTCTATTAATGTACGATATTACTATAGTAATATTACTCTATTAATATACGATATTACTATACTAATATTACTCTATTAATATAAGATATTACTACAGTAATATTACTCTATTAATATACGATATTACTATAGAAATATTACTATATTAACATACGATATTACTAAGTAATAAAAAATATAGGATTAACGATATTACTGAATAATATAGTAATAACGATACGACTATAGTAATAAATAATATATAAAAAAACGACATTACTATAGCAATTCTGCTTCTATTAATCTGGCTTACCTGAACAGAGACGATTGCAGGCTACAGATAGAAGTGGACGCATGGGTGTCGCCTAGGCATGGCAACACCTCCTTGGTGATGTACTCCTCGAGGAATTGCAGCGACCTTCCGGAAGCGGTATAGTCGCAATAGACCACTGTAAAACAAAACGAAACACACCATGAGCATGAGAAACGAACAAACAAATTTCACCATTGGCCGAGTTCGCTCGCACGTAAAATCGATCGTCGCTAACTAATAACACACATCCTGCGTGTTTTTATTCGTTTGTCCGATCCCGGCCGGTTTCTACTCGCGATTTACGATGTCTCGGCAGGCAGCATTTTTTATCTTTCTTTCGTTTATTAAATTGATTTGCCGTAGCCTGATACCGAAATATCCGCCACGGCAAACACGGTCCGCAGCAGCTAGCTCGCCGGAACTGTTCGTCGTTATGTGGGCCGATCCCCTTTCGTGAAAGGCCACTGTCCCGGCGAATCGTGGTTTGTTTGGAAATGTAATGTATGCATAGGGTGTATCGTGATGGCGGCGAACTAGTTTCCATCGGCCGGCAAATGTGCTAACGTGCTAACGCCGAGCGCGCAGGAGGCGTCTGTTACGCGTTTCTTAGCGGCGGGATCTAAATAATTTTCGATGAATTTAGACCCAGTGATTATTGGGCATTGAAGTACGGTTAAATTCTCTAAAATTGTTCCTCAGCTTTTAAAGAAAAATGGATGATTATGGAAGAATATAATAAAAGTATAATAATATAATAATATAGTTATATAACAATATAACAATATAATAATAACATAATAATATAATAAATATAGTAATATAACAATGAACAATATAATAATATAAAAATAACATAATATTATATTATGTTATTACTATATAATAGTAATATAATAATACAGTAATAACATAATAATATCATAATAATATAGTAATAATATAATATAATAATAATATAGTAATAACATAATAATATAACAATGCAATTTAGCTTTCGGTGGTAGTACCTTTATCAATTTCAATAGATAGCGAATAATTTTAAATTGTAAATTTAATATAATTTTAAAAATACGGTAAATTCACTTCAATTGTTCCTCAACTTTTATAGAAAAATAGACGACTTGGGAAGAGGAGATACGATTGTTCGAGCCTCGTGTCTCGTTTTTATCATTGTTGACAATCGTCGGCCTCGAATAATCGTATCCCAAATTCTCAAAATTGTCCATTTTATGGGATAGAAACTGAGGGACAATTGAGGAGAATTTACTGTGTTCTTAAAATTATATTAAAAATTTACAATTTAAAATTATTCCCGATCTATTGAAATTGATAACGAAACTACCATCGAAAGCTGAATCAACTCAATTGCATTGTTATATATTATTATATCATTATGTTACTATTATTATATTATCATTATATTAATATGTTATTATACTAATATATTAATATATTATTGTATTGTTATAATGATATACTACTATATTATTATATTATTATACTATTATATTGTTATATTACTGTATTATTATATACTATTATTATATTATTATTATATTATTATATTATGTTATTATTATACTATTATATTATTATTATATTATCATTGCGTAACTATAATTATTTCTTCGAAGCGGGACAACAATCGAAATTCTGGCATCGAGACTTCAAAAAACGTGTTCGAGGGACCTCCAAAGTCATTCAGCGTTCAACACGCTGCGACACGAATTTTTCCTCGCTCTAGATCCAATTTTTCCCGAACGGTATTATGTCAAGGTCACCGGCAATATATCACCACGAAACAGGAAGTCTCGTTGGCACGTTTCGTTCCGCGACAGGAAAACCAAGGACAGTTTTTTTCTTTGTACGCGCGCGCACTCCTTTTTTCCCCATTGTTTTTCTGCGTCCTGAATGAAGCCGAACGTTGTGCCGGTTCGCAGACGATGCGAGAAACACCCCGTATATGCGTATACAAATCGCGGACCCGGCGAGGAAACCGCGGCTATTTTCAGCCCGGCCCGGCCCGAGTTTACCAGAAAATTGGAAAATGTTTACTCGGGAACGTTGCACGCATTTCTCGCTCTTTCTTTGTTCGTGGAAAAAGAAAAAGTTTTGAAAAATGTGTGCGTACACACCCAGCGACCATAAGTTTCGAACATTACGAACGTTTTTTGTATCAATTGAAAGTCTATCTATTAATATACAATGTTATTATGGCAATAAATATTATTACGTTACTATAGTAATGTTACTATAGTAATAAATATTATTATACTACTACAGTAATATTACTCTATTAATATACGATATTACTGTAGTAATAAATAATATAGTAATAAATATTATTATATTACTCTATTAAAAACGATATTATTATAGTAATAAATAATATATTAATAACGATATTATTATATTACTCTATTAAAAACGGTATTATTATAGTAATAAATAATATAGTAATAACGATATTATTATAGTAATAAATATGATTATATTACTCTGATAAAAACGATCTTACTATAGTAATAAATAATATAGTAATAACAATATTATTATAGTAATAAATATTATTATATTACTATAGTAATATTACTC